AAACATTTAATTTTTTGTTTTTTTTTATTTTTTTGTTAAATGAAAAATAAATCAAAATGTAAAGAGAATAAAAAATTGAATGCGACGATGCCCACTTAGTCACGTTTTAAATTTTTAATTTTTTTTCTTTTGTTATACTTATTACAGTGGTTTTCAAATAATTTTGTTAAAAATTATGAAATTTTGAAATTTAACATTATGTTTCTGAAATTTTTTTGGTTCTCAAGCCATATCGATTCTGCATTGGGGGCAGTATTTCTAAATTTGTAGTAAGTGTATATAAATAATACACTTATACAAAAACACATATAAATATATAAATATGTAAAATACATAAATAAAATATATACTTAAATATAAATACAATTTTTCCGAAAAAAATTTTTGTTTTGGAAATATTTGAAATTTGCATTTTGAAATTTCTTTCGAAACAACAAATAGTGTTTCGAAAAATTTGGTTCAGCTCATTCTAATAAAAGCGTAAAATGTAAGAGTAATGAGTACAACTAAAATACGGCAAAGGAATCAACGAAACATTTGAAATTCACTGAAAATTTGTCAAATAAAAATACTTGACTCAAATACTACATACTCAATGACTAATTACTCGTTTGACTCTCAATTAAATCTACTCAATATTAAAATAAAAAACAATATAACTAATTTATGTATCTATTATAATTGGAATTCTAATAACAATTCGCTGACTCGCTCACTCAAATTTTTTTCCATATGACATATTTGACTGTTGAAATAGACAATTATAAAAAAAAAAATGAGTGCCGGTTATTGATTTCGTAACATAATGAGTATAGAAATTCAAGAAACACAAATTTTACAATAAAAAGAAATTAAAAAAAAATGTTTTTTTTTTTTTTGTCTGATTCAAAAACTATTTTCAGCATTTTAATATTTTAGAAAATATTTAATTTTTTTTTGTTTTTGTTTTTTTACTAAAAGTTCAAAGTCCATAATCGTGCATTCAAGACGACGGCAAAATAAATAAAATAAATTACAAAAAACACAAAAAAAAAAAAACTTGTGTAAATACTTAAAAATATTTGTATGAAAAATTTTATAGTCAAAAAAAAAAACTTTGTACACAGAGTACATGATAATTTGAGTTTGAGATACCCAAAAAAAAAAAATTATTTTAAAGGGTGAGGCAAATGTAATTGCGTTATTAACTGAAATTAATAATAAAAACAACAGTAATAAAAAATAAATAAGATACAACATTAAAAATTGAATGTTGAGTGACAATGAAAAAGATTGCCATTATAATAAGGAAAAGGGGAACAAGAGCGGGCGCCAAGACTGTAAAAGAAAACTTTTTTTTCTTGTAATTTAAATTTTATGTTTATTTATTTTTTGCATATACACATATGACTAGTTTTTGCCTTGATTGCATTTCATTAAAGAGATTATTTTTTTTAACAGAAGATTTTTTTCATTCTGTTACCCAAGTACCATTTTTATTATTAACTTTTAAACTGTGTCACGTCAAAAATTGTTATTACATTAAATTAGTAAAATTATATTAAAAAAAAAAATAGTTTTGCATTTTGAAGAAAAAAAAAAGAGTCGTGCAAGTAAAATTTTTTTTTGGTTCGTAGCTTCACTTAATGTTTATACAATATGGAATTTATTAGTTTTAAAAATCTTGTTTAATATTTATTGTAGTAACTCGAATCTCATATTTACGCCATAACAGGATACTGACGGAGAAAACGGAATATTTTCATATATATTCAGATGGCAGTAAAGTTGCATATCAATACAGAATATTGTCATATATGAGATAGTAGTAATATGTGAGCCATTTGCTCTGCAGAGAGTTTACTTTAACTTTAAATCTCAATTTTCTATTAACGTGTAATGTAATAGTTCCGTCAAGAGAGAATATTTTTTGACAATTCGTATTCTTTATGTATATATAATTTGTTTTTAGTTTTATTTCAAATATACTTGCCACTTTCGTCAATTATTATCAAATTATTCTCTTTACATGTTAAAATGTTGTTAATGTTATGTTCATTTCAATATAATTTTAGTTTGAACAAAACATCACTCTGTATTTGATTATAAAGTTTTTATTCTTTGAAAATAAGCGATTTCTTTTTATCTTTTTCTTCTTTTTGGCACCTACATTCTTGTGTATATTAAAATATGCCTGCCTCAGAAAAGAAAAAATCCAAGGTGAATTTAAGTGATAAAGGTCACCGTTATGTCTAATATATATATACATTTATTTTTTCATCATAGATATTTATAATTATATATACAAAAATATCATTTCTATATTAAGAATATTATTTAATATAAAAGTAAAAAAAATTAAATTTTAAATTTAGTAATAAGGATATTTTAATGTTCTAATGCAAGTATAATTGAAATAATTGGAAATTTCTGCTTAAATCATTATAAAATTTAAATTCTGATTAGATTTTATATTTTGCTTTTGCTAAATTATTCTCTTTTATTAAAAAACTATTTAATTATTATGTGTTTGATATATAACTATAAATTATCTATTATTAAATACAATCTCAATTTACGCTGTTTTAATCCATATAAGTAATTGCGCGTGTATTGTAATTATAATGAATAAATAACCAAGAATATTTTATTTTATATAAATTTATGCATACATATATGCCTGGGAATGTAAGTTGTGATTGTGACCCAAATTGCAAATAAGAGCGTAAATATATTTTCTGTTATTCTCTATTCACTGAACGCATAATAATAAAAATACCTATTATAAAATAAAGAAAGTTATTAAGGGTATTCAGAAGAAGAACAATAACTAAAGTATAATGCTATATTAAATTACAATGCAATTACATAATAATATATTAATAGACGCAATACTCTCTTACAAATACATATACATTCAAAAATGCATATATCATTAAAAATAATTTCGATTTTTAATTATAAATTAAGTATACATATATGCAAATTCATTTTATTAGTAATCCAATATTGTTTTTTTCAATTAATTAATTTTCTCTAATTTTATGTAAATTATTATTAATGATTCAATTAAATACACACATACATACATAATAATTTCATTTTAAGTATGGTAATTAATTTTGCTTGAATATTTATAGAATGCATATATAGGGAAAGCATCATCAACAATAGAAAATTTCTATTCAGTTAAGCACACATCGTAGGTATTATTTTAAAAATTTAGAAAATTTACTGTCGCCAAACTAAATTACTAAAACATTAAAAAAATTTTAATTATTCATAATGTAATTTAAGAAAATTGAAATTAATTTTTATGAACCTAACCCAATTAATTGTTCTAAAAATAAATTAATATATTATACATTTAGTAAAGTATACTATATATTATGGACTCATAAAACTTTACTATGTATCACAAAAATGTAGTAAATAGGTCAGATTTTCTATACTGTTAAATGAAATTTTATGCAAATTTTAAGCATGTTTCTATAATTAAATAAGTAACAATTTCATGAATATTACAATTCAGTGTAATTATAAAAAAATATTTTGAGAAAATTTTATGATTGTGAAAAAAATATTCAAAAATATTTTGGTTTCAAAGTTCACTTTTTTTATAGGAATGCAAATTGTGAGTTATATTAATTATTATTAAAATTCATGATTTCGTATAAAAAATAATTTCAATTGAAAAAGTTTATTTTAAGGGTAAATCCCACATTCAAATGATTAAAATTTTCTTATTTTTTAATTAAATAGCGAACAATTTGTTTATAAAATTTCATTTAACTGTATTAGTTGAATTATTGTGAATCAACAAGAATTTCGAAAAATGATCAAATCATTAAATGATTCACAAATTCACAATTTCCTTTAAATTAAACAAAAAAAAAAATACATATATGAAAATAAAGTGATCGGTCAAATGTTATTGAAATGTAATTTCTATTTTATATGAAATATTTTCGAAGAAAATGTTTGATTTAAACTTTTTATGTTATCATGATCAATAAAGTAATTGATATAAATAATATGAATACAATATGCCACGAATGAGTTTATGTTACCATTGTGAATTAATCCGAAATCACCAACAAAATAAATTAATATTATGTAGGTACTTATGATTGAGATAGATTGTAGATTGTAGATTTTAAGGAAACTGAGATTGAAATAACAAATTGTATACATATAAATCATATTATAAAGACCAAATCCATATTATATAAGAGAATACATTGAATAAATCAAATGTTGCATACTATTCTTCTCATTCAAATATAAAATTTTGTTTTGAGCATGCAATAAATTTTTATTTTTCTCAATATTTTGAAAACATAAAAATTGCACTCAATTATTTTCCTAAATTCATGCACTCAATTAGTGCATGAGAGAAAAATTTGTTCCTTAATTTTAATACATTTATGCATAAATGTGAAATATCCTTTCTTAAAATATGAAATTAATATATACTTTATACGAGTCTATACAACAGTCAAACATATATTGATTTTAGGAAAATTCTTAATTCTTATATTAATTAACAATATTATTATTCATATTAAATTTCATATCCGATTTCCCATGCATATAAAATAACACGAGTATAATTAATAATAATTGTAATACGTGTATGTAGATATGTATGTATGCACATACATATATCATGTATGTGCATGGGAAATACGGAAATTTTTTCATTAAATGAAAAATTTCCTATATAAAATTACAAAACTAAAATTACAATTTTTGTTATTCTGTTTGCTTTTTTTTTAATTACATAGTATTATGGGGAGAAAAACAAAGTGTCAACGAAATCAATTTAAATATTTTTTAAACTTATAATTATAATATACATGTACATATACATAATACATTCATACATGTGTATAACATGTCTGGTACACATGTGAGCTTAACAAACATGTTTCACATAATTTTTTTTTTGTGTTGTTCAATTTTTCATTATTGAAATTCAATATTTTTCCATTATTATTTGTATGTTTTTTTTTTCATACCATACTCATATTCATAACACATAATGTGTCATATTGGACTTTGGACTCATATAGTAAAACTAAACATGTTATATAATATGGAAGTATATATATACATGAATAGATATACATATATATATATATATATTAATAATATATTATTCAATATATTGTACACTTAATTAAAGATTATATCATAAAAAAAAATTCCATTGGTAGTAGCTAGCTAGTTTTATACTATATACAAAAATTTGTATATATAACAGATATGTGTATAGGGAAGAGAAACATAAATTTCAGTACCTAAAAAGATTAAACTATACTAAAGATTAACAAAATAATTTTCTTTTGAAAAAATTCCTTTAAAATTTTATAATTTGGTTTTAAAATTTGTACAGATCTGAAATACAATATTATTTATTTGTATAGATGTTTGATTAAAACAAAACTTTTATACAAATATATATATATAGTAACACATATATCTGCCATAATTTTTAAATAGAAAATAAATAATAATTAAGTGGAGAAGTACAATGATCTCATCTTTATATTATTGAAAAATTTTTAGAGAAAGGTAAGCGATAAAATTATAAAAGTTTACACAATAAAAACAAGTTTTACAAGATTTTTCTAAAAAAAATAACACTTTTAGAAATCTTAGAACAATATAATTAAATTGAAATTATATGCATATATATATGTATGTATTTAAGAATATAAGTACTTACATAATGTATAGGTATTCAACATCAAGTCATTTAGTATTTTATTAAAATTAAAATTAAACGAAATACAAATTGTTAGAAAGCGTAGAATTGAATAAAAGTATTTTATCAAAATGAACTTGTTAAATGATCAAAAAAACAAAATAATAGTTTTACTGTCATTGATAAGTCAAAGAAAAATACATAAATTAAAGATAATACCCTAATAAACAGAGGACACTATTTACATATATAATTTACACTCACATTTTGGCTTATTTTTCAAAGTATACGGGTGTTATAATGGCACTTTTAAACTTGTACCAGAAAAAAAAATTATTGAATTTTTTTCTTTTTGTCTCATTTCATTTTAACTCATTAGAAATATTGTAAGAATTCTTTATTTATAAATAAGCAGCGCAATTTCATTATAAATTTTTCTCAAGTTTTTAGAATTTTGTATACAAGCGCTAAATGTTTTTTTTTTTTTTGGTTTTTATATAAATAAATTAAAAGTCTTAATGATGACATTAATTTGTTTTCTTATATTAAAAGTTTTTCTTTTTTTGTTATTTTCTATTTTTTTTTTCAAATGTAAAATTTCAAATTTTAATTATAGCATTGCCAGAATGTATGATTTTGTGAAATAATTTTATAAGTAGATTACGATAAATGTTAAAACTAAAGATTAATAAACTTTAAAATAACAGATTACCGCCTTATAGAATCTAATTTATACAATACGTAAGGGATTCGATCTATTTTCAATATTAATATCATACAGTAATCAAACTGTATGCGTTTCATAAAATATTGTTTAAATCAAACAATAAATTTTACAATAATGACTGTGAATAAAACATTGTTGTGCTATTTGCTGCACTACACTATTGGAGTATAATTTTTGTAAAAGGAACACTGTTGTAGCCACTTTACAGCAATAATCATGCGTAACACATTCTTTAATCAGCATATTGGCATTAACATTAAATATACGCAATACTGACATACCAGCAGCATCCATTTTTTTATATATAATGTAGCTATGTATTTAAATAACAATGTTAAATTGGCAACTTTTTTACTTTTACAAAATACATAGTCTCGACAATTCAACATTATATCATGTATAAGTAAATGCATAAAAAATTTAGTTAAATATACTGACATTTTACATGAAAATTATTTCATTCGTTTTAATATAAATTGCCATACTTATTTAAACATTTTTCTTTTCTTCTATATTTATTATTGCATACCTACATACATACATATATATTTTCTACTTAAGTTAATTTTGTTTGGTTTTGTTTTTTTTGTGTTAATATAAAATAAAATCGGGCACGTGCTCAATGAGTGATCATCATCACAGTAGCAGAGTAACACAAAATAAAAGAAAAAAGGCATATTTATAGTGGAATAGAAATTATTATGAAGATATTTTTGTAGATATCTTGTATACAATGTGTATTTAAATAAGTATGTAAATATAAAAACAAAATGTAAATATAGGTAAACAGATAAATACTATCTGGTTTTTAATAATTTTATTAGTATATTTACAAAAATTGAAATGCTATTAGATAAGTGTACGCTATAAACAAGTGTACCCAAACTTTAGAAATTTGTATATTATATGCACACATGCATACAAACTCATATATTTTTTTTTATATATTTTGAGTATGGTAAATTAATTTTTAAATGCATTAATAAAGTTGTAAATTAATTTAGAAGAAAAAATTTTAACAAAAGCAAAAATTTAATAAAAGTTAATTAAAAGCAAACGTTTTTTATAAAATTCAAAAATTTAACAAAGAAGCTTTTCCTTTTTAAGAAAATAACAAATATAAATTAGCATTTTTGTTAATTGAAATACAAAAAAAAATAATTATACAATATTGTTGAAATTAAAATTAATTTTTTTATTTTATTTTGGTATTCTAACAAGTGTTTTGTAATTAACATTTTGTTGTTACACCAGCTTGTAGTTGTTTTCATAGACAACAGCTTGTATAATTAATGTCATCATAACAGTGTTTTTATATATTTAATGTACATAATACTTCTTTAAATTATTAAAATATTTTTGTTATGTTACTCAACTACAGTTAAATTGAAGAGTCACTTAAAGAGTAATTGAAATTAAGAGAGAATTAATCATGTAATTTTGATCGTTTCTTATCATTTTTTGTTTTGAATTCAGAGAATTTAGAAATTTAAGAGAATTAAATATAACATTCTAGGTAAAAGGTAATATAAATTTTATTTAATATAATACTTTAATAAATTGAATAATTCTGCTCTATAATAGGTAGTAGCTTAAATAAAATTTTTGAAAATATTTAATTGAATTACAAAATCATATAACTAAAACTTATACAATAAAATTAATTTATCATTATTAGATTTGCAATAATTACAATTAACAACTTTTAATAAATTTAATATTTTTTATTTCAACTGCAAATTACAAAATTCAATTACAACATTTCAAATGCCAATTGTAATTATTATTTTAATAATCATTATTACATATCTATATTATACTATAATTGCTGTAATGTTAATGTTATGATGTTAATTGATTTTGACTATTTCAAAAAATTTTTTTTAAAGTTTTAATTGCAATGTCATTCTTGTCATTCAATTCAAAATAAAATCATAGATTTCGTAATCATTATTCATAATTTTTATATCATTATTATTACACAAGTATAACAGAATAACATTTTTTCAATTGAAATGGAAATTACCTACATGCGATCGTGTAAAACAAAAGTAATTATTAATCATTTTGTTTTTTTTTTTAAATTGAAAATTATTCAATAATTATCTAGAATATTGCAAACCAATTACATGTTTTGTATTTGAACAACATGTTAAACATAAAGTAATTGTTAAAATTTGTCAAGTAATCTTTATAGGATTTTCGTTGTAATTAAGTAACTTAAGTTCTTTATGTAATTTAAAATGTCATTTTAAAAGTTATTACATAATATTATTTTACAAAATGAAATGAAAATAATTTAAAATCAAATTGTCAAAATTATATTTTATATTTGAAATACTCAAATATTTATCCTTATAAAAGTTTTATTTGTAAAACAAAAAATTAAATAAACTCTAATTTTTTTTTTGTTTTTCCCCAAATATTAAAATGACAACTTTTAATATTTTGAGAATTCAAAAAAGTTTTTCTTCAATTTTTTATTTTCCTCATTTTTAATTTTATTTTTTTTTTCTTATTTAACAAAAATATTATGATAAATTTTTAAAAATAAAAACTTTTGCGGGCCCCTCAATTTTAATTTTTGGAAAAAATACTTGAATAAAGCTTGATCAGAAAAATAATGCAAAGAAAATATGCAAAGGAAATAAAGAGAATAAAAACATAAATTACTTTACTTTATTCCTTGTCATATTAACTGCTTTTATACTTACCGTTGTTCTTTGAACGGTACTTTATTTATATTATTTGTTATACTTGTCATTTCTATACTTGTATTCGTGCATTTATTCCTTTAAAGATTCAATAAAGAAAAACATTCTAATTAGGCTTTATAAATATTTTTATTATAAAATTTATTTCAAATTTTTTGTTAAACACGTTCCTGTTAAAAGATTTGCGGTAAAATATCTGAATATCATTTTTTCAGCACGATATAAAAGTTAAAAGTGGTATACTTTACACTAATTTTGAATGCAATTTATTTTAATCAATGAAAGTTTAGCAGATAACATTAATATTTGAAATGATCAGCATGGGGATAAGGCGATCTCAACCGTTCTTTGATGAAGCGTATTTTTGACGGTCGCACATTTTGTTAACAAAAAAAAAAATAATGCATTTTCCTAGATGTAATAAAGTTGATAGGATCTCTCAAAAATTAGTATATTAATTTCGCTCAACAGCGCCAACTTTTTTAATTATTAAAACCAACCAAAATTGATGAACCTCATATAGTAATAACTTTCAGATAGCACGATAGTTTGATAAAGTACATATTACCTAATGATATAATTTCCTAGAGTACATATTATTATTTTGATAGTAATTTTTAAAAAATGAGCACAATATGACAATTATTAACGGATTTTGTATAATTTCTCTATTCCAACAAAAAGAAAAAAAAATCACCCTATAAACACAATTTGTTCGCGAGCTAAACTGTTTTTCTTTAAACAGTTTACACAGGTGTACATGAAGCTCGTCATGTGCTATTTTCATATGATCCTATTTCAACGTTTCAGAACAAAAAGGTAATAAATAAGGGAAATGAACATTTTTTTTTACATACTTGTCAAAATTGTTCCAATTTGTTTCAATTCAACCAAATTAAATTGCAAAAAAATATATATATTAATATTATAATAAATCCTTAAGCACGAAAAAAATTCCATGTATATGCATATCATATACTTATATACTCGTATGGATATTAATTTATTGAATATTATTGAAATAATTGAAAAGTACAACCGCAAGTAAATTATTCCATAAATCAATTTCAATTGTCATATTTTCTCTTTTTTTTTTTTTTTTGTATGTTGTGTAATTGAAAGAGAAGAGGGAATTTTTGAATATAAGAATTTTTTGTATAACAAAAAGTATACAATTCAATTTTAATTCTCGGGAATAAAAATTGATCCTTAAAACAAAATTATTGGTTATTGATATGATGTATATAAGTCTGTACGTATAATTAATGTTTACAGAGTTGAAATGCGTTTATTCAATAGACTACTCATGAAGGTGTACTTATAAATTTTTTAAATAATTGGGATTAATTGTAATATTTCAAATTCTAAATATAAATTTAGATGTGAAAATTAATACATTGCATTTCTTTCTCTTTAATCTTCTTAAAAGCAATTTAAATTTATATTTTAATTATTATTGTTATTATAGTCTTATTTACCTACACACGATTATACTTATAGTAGAATGAATACGCATTAAAAATATTATTTTAATAAAAAATATATGTATATTAATTTTTCCATGAAAAATTCAACAAATATTTTAAAATTAAAAAAAAATTTTTTTTTTTACATATAAAACCTTGATACCGAAAAAATTTATTTCTTTTTCTAAATTTTTTTTTATATTTATACAAAATTATATTATTTTCTTTTCTTCGAATATTTTATACCTTGACTACATCTCTGATTTGTTTATTCCATTTAATGTATTGTATGACAATAAATAAATTTCATGGATCTTACTAAAATCTTGAATTTGAATATTGTATGAAAATTAAACGCTCGTGTGTGTATGTATAACATATATAATAGCAATATATATATGCATATATATAATATATAGGTGCAAATTAAGGAAACACTAAAATTTAAGAAAATAAGAATATGAAAAATTCATAAAAAACAAAAATAATGAAAAGTAATACTAAAGTATATAAGAAGGAAACAAAGAAATATAGGTAAACGGTAAAGAGGGAAAGAAGGCTGAATAACAATCTTTACACTAATACATATGTTTTATAGAAGTGAATCGTTGTCGTATAACAGGTGAAAATTAAATTTATCCCCATATATTTGTGAATATTCGCTAAATAAGCGTATATTTATTTGCGATATTTTTTAAGCAATTTCTGTTAAGCTTCAAAACAGATTTTTAAATAACAAAAACAAAAAAAAATATTTTTCAAAGGAAAAAAAAGAAGACATTGAGTATATTTATATAATATACGTGTGTATGTCATAATGTTTGCATTTAAGTATGACAAAAACCTTTTATTTACGATTACCGCTCTTAATATATGAAAATTTTATTAAAATTTAATCATTGATATGAAGATGTTAAAATGAATTCTCTTATTATTCTGCTACACTAATGTGTACACATTTGAAAGGCGGCACTGGAAATACTCATTCCCTTCCTTTTTTTTCATATTATAACTTACACCATTTAAAAAGATTAAAAATTTAAAATACAAAACGAAAAAAAAAAATAATTGCACCTACATCCACACAAACACATATTTTTACTTTTACTTTGAG